GAGCAATGTTTGTCAATCTCCATGAAGATTACATTGCTTTTCGTGAGTAGCCTTCCATGTAAGCAAAGCCACGTACAAAAAGCAAATTTAGGAGGGACAAAGCTCTTCCAAATAAACCTCATGGCAAACTTTTTTGGGCTTTGTGGACGAATTGCTTCATACACGGCCGAAGTATTAATGCCATTCGGTCCATTCCAAGAGGCCAGTTTATTGATACAGTCACTAGTGGTTCCAAATCTGCTTACGAGAAGGTCCCTAACCTTCGCCAAACTACGCATGAGGGCGGACTCGTTTCTTCCCGGATTCCACGTCCAGAAGTCCACATTCCGTAAATAAAAGTCATGGACCCAACGAATCCATAACGTTTCTTTCCGGGTGTGGATATTCCAGAGTGTTTTTGTCATAAACGCATTGTTCCAATGTTTCAAATTTCGCAAGCCAAGTCCGCCCTCATCTTTTGGCCTGCAGATAACATCCCATGATACAAGAGCCCTTTTTCCACCCCATAGGAATTTTCGGCATATAGAAATTATGCTTTCAATAACTGTGGTGGTAGAGAAAACTCTTGCATCCAGTATGCTACCACACCTTGGATCACCTTGGCTATCAGTTCAAGCTTACCTGCATAAGATAAAGAAAATCCCTTCCAGGCAGATATATACTTGTTAATGGAATCAAAAAGAGGGGTGTAGCAAGATACCTTTAGCTTTTGAGCATCTAAAGGAACCCCAAGGTAACGAACAGGCAAGGTGCCATTAGGGATGCGTGTGAAGCTAAGGTCATCACGCACCCCAGCACAAAACAGTTTCGATTTCGTAGCACTAATCGCTAGCCCTGAGGTCCCTTCGAGCTCATTCAACGCATTCATCATTATTCCCACCGAGCTTACATCTCCCCTGCAAAAAAGCATCAAGTCATCCGCAAAAGCCAAATGGCTTATGCGGAGGTTAGAACATCTTGGGTGGAACTTGAACATCGGGCTCGCAGTCTTGGCCTTCAACATTCTTGAAATTCCATGCATAACGTGAACAACATGGGGGACATGGGGTCCCCTTGCCTTAATCCCCGCCTTCCATCAAACTTTCCATGCAAAGTACCATTAATGCTCACCGAGAAAGATGCTGTGCTTACACACTCCATGATCCATTCAGTGAAGATACTCGGAAACCCGAACCCATGCAGAACCTCCTTCAAGAAATCCAGCTAACAGTGTCATAAGCCTTTCGGATATCCACCATTATCATGCACCTCGGGGATATTCTTTTTCTTGAATATCCCCTTATAAGTTCCTGAGCAAGCATAACATTATCAGACACCGATCTCCCACCTACAAAAGCCCCTTGGGCTTGGTCCACAATGTCCGGCAGTACTCGTCCATGCGTGCTGCAATTATCTTCGTTATTATCTTGTAAAAACATTGCAGCACGCGATTGGTCTAAAATCCTCGACCCTTTGATCGTGCATCTTCTTGGGGATTAAGGCAATAACGGTATGATTCCATTGCTTCAACAGTTGCCCATTTCTGAAAAATTCCATCACTGCCGCTATGACCAGTGAACCAATCCGGTTCCAATTAACTTTGAAGAAAGCGGCAGTGTACCCGTCGGCCGGAGCTTTGTCATTACCATAGAGAATAAAGCTTCCTTTATTTCTTCTTTAGAGATTGGGGCCACAAGGTTCAAAGCTTGATCGGCAGAGACATTGGAGCCATGGCCAAAATATGTATTGTCCGTTCCATTCCTTTCTCTTGGGGTGCCAAATAAATCAGAGAAAAATTTTACAAACAAGCTGCCCACTTGATTGAGTGAAGTAGTTAGGTTCCCATCTTGATCAAGGATTGCAGCTAGAGTTGACGCTGCATTTCTTTTATTTATGAGGCTATGAAAATAGTGTGATCCCTTATCTGCCCTCAACCAAGTGGACTGTATTCAATTTTTGCGCAAAGAACCGTCTTTCAGCCTCCATCAAGAACAAGGCCCTCTTCCGAAGATCATTACATAAGCCCTCTTGTTCATTCGCGTTTAGGACATCCAACTCATCTTGCGCAACAGAGTAGGCTTCTTTCGCGACTCGGGTTCTCTCCGAGATGTGGCTGAACGCATTTCTGTTAAGAGTGCGAAGAGGTCCTTTAAGAGACTTAAGTTTCTTGGCCAGAATATACTGCTTCGATCCCTCCACATGCTCTCTCCACACATTTTCAAGAGTAACTTTGAAGTCCTGGTGTGTGAGCCACATGTTTAAAAATTTGAATGGCCTTTTTCCGTCACTTATAGCAATGGACGTAGTTATAACTACGGACAGTGATCTGAATTGCATGCCAACAACTTGAAGTCTGCCATGCATGTTAACCCGTTGGCTCCCCATCTATCATTGATCAGTACCGATCCAGCTTGGCTTCCATATACCTATTTCTCCACGTAAAAAAATTTTCCAGTAGAAGGGCAGTCCGTTAGATCCATGTTCGCACAGCAATTCTCCAAATCCTGAAGCTCATATCTAG